GTATGAAAATTGCGACAGACCACTGAAATTGAAGCTGGAATTATATCAAATGTGTAAATTAATACACTTAGAATAAACTGTGAATATTATGTGAAACTTTCCCAAGGGTGTCCAAATATTCTTGATTATCAAATATTTCATCCTCTTCTACTACTGATTTTCTCATGTTCAAAATGTTTTGGTTGCAGTTTAATTTTACAACTCCTTCCAAAAGCTGTTTCACATTTGCTCCACTTTGGTGCTTATGGAAATAAACTAAGAAAGCTTCCCAGAAGCCGAGACTAATTAGAAAGGACATCTGTTTTGCAAATTTCTAACTCCTGTTCAATTTTAAACGATACAAAATGCAGGTCACACAGGGAATTTAAGAAACCTCACAAATAATTTTGAGACATTTTGGAAGCCCCCTTTGGAAAATCTTTTTAAACAATTAAAAACTTGTAGACAATGATTTAAAAAAAAGCTAATCCTGTAGTTCTGGTGTTTATTTTAAAGGTGTAGTTGACCAATAAACCATTTTTTAATTATTATTTCTGATTATAATCGGTCACTTCAAGTTTTTCATGCAGGCTGAACATGAAAACAGTCTCCTACACACATCTGCTGTGTCAGCTTCTGATAGAAAATAGATGGTGAAATGCTAGGATTTGAAAATCCTCACATATCTATTTTTGCATTCATGGCCTTGCCTATTTATTTATTTTGCAGCGAGAAGAGCGAGCGGAGAGTGTCTTGGTGAAAGTGACTTTGCAACATATCTAAACACTTTCTGTTAGCCAATCAGAAGTGAGATGTGTGCATATCATTAATAGGGTTGCAACAACGAATCGATAAAATCGATAAAAATCGATTATTAAAAGTGTTGGCAATGAATTGTGTCATTGATTCGTTGTGTTGCACAACTCACCCGTTGTGTTTAATAAAGTGAAGGAAGGAGAGAAAAAACGTTTCCCTAGCAGTTTTAAAAAAATTTCCCCATGTAATCCGATTAATCGATTCATTGTGTCGAGACCCCATCCAATTCATCGATTATCCAAATAATCGTTTGTTGTAGCCCTAATAATTAATAATAATGAGTAATCCTGCTGTTTTCAGCTGACCTCTACATCAGTAAACTTTTCAGAACAGGAGCATCATAGCTTTTTGTAAATGACTCATAAGGTGTTAATTTACACTTGTGAACACTGCAAATGTATTGAACAAATGGGTAAACTGCACCTTTAAGAACAATAAATTGGTTAAAGTGGAAATATTTTAGTATTATTTAAAATATAATTGTTCTGTCGTCAATAACAAACATTCATACATTTTTTTACACTAAATGCTTTAATCAGCAGTTTTATTCTTCACAGTTTCAGTAATTTACAGCCGCTTCAGGGCTCTATCACTTTAAGAAAACAAGCTGCTTCCAGCCGCACCTACCCATCCCCCACTCATGCTGCTATGAGCTGTGCAGCTCTCATATACAGGAGGGGCTCAGCAGTTCTCTCTTGCACATGAAAGATGGTTCTACTCTCCTTTCCCTGTTTGTGATGTCACACAAGATGACTTTTTGAAACTCAGTTTTTTAGGCAAATAAATCCTGAATCCAAACACTAACAAAAAATGGATGGATGGATTATTTTCAAGTTTGGCGTGTTTTTGGAGGCCGTACAGCGCCACGTGGCATCACAAAAGAATAACATGTCCCCTTTAACCAGCAACAACATTGGAAATTAACAGAAAGAACCATCAATAGATGAAAGCAGGTAGGTGGAGAAAATCTCCCTACCCCTCTATTGTTTCCTCTTTTATAGAATAACTTGTAGCATTTTAATGCTATCTTCATTTTCTGTCTGCATCTAATTTAGCCCTTGCCTGTGCATGATAGCTCTAACACCATAGGTACACTACTTGCTCTGATAAATTGGCAGTGTTTATGGCAGGATACATTCAGCATAGTAAAAACACATCAAGATGAATGGGAGCAAAGGCAATGAAAAGCATTCCCCTATGCACACAGCAATCATCCTGAGCAATGACTCCACAGAAACCATTAGACTCTACCATGAACATGTGGGAGACTATTTCTGAGGTTATGCTGACAGGTATTTTATTTTATTTGTTTATGAACATTGCTTCTTTATTTATGACTCATCACGCTACATTGTATTAGAATTGTTCAGTCCTAACGTGGGTTTGATTGGATGTCATCTATGTTAAAAATTTGTGCAGACTAGCGATAAAGATGGCAATTAAAGTTCATGATTGTCTTCTATGTCTTTCTAATGATTTCATTTAGGGTGATGTTGACATTGTAACCTCTTAACAAACTTGCTAATTCAGCTGTTGTCTCAGATGATGTATATTAGTCACCCAAAAGGCCAACACCATCCAACGTGCTGGAATGTGTCTATGTCATAATGAGAATGTGCACATCTGCTCATCCAGCTGTGAATGCGTATGTTTGTGTCTTGCATGTTCACCTCCCCTGCATGTATGTAATCTCGTGGAGCCGAACCACCACGGGTAGCATGAGGGACACACATGCCCCAGATAGTTTGAATCTAATCTAGGCCAACCTCATTTTCCCTTGACACGTGATGAGCACTGCAGGTAGCCAGCAGTGGCACGCGAAAAACATCACCTCACACAAACAGACGCCAAAAGATTGTAGGAAGACGGGGAAAACCTGCTAGTGACTGCAGAGCTGCAAATGTGATCCGTCCCTTTTTAGGTAGTGGACAATAGGAGGCACTGGGCTCCATAAGGAGAGGATAAAGAGGGAAAGAGTGACTGTGTGAGAAGGAATTAAAAGAAGAAGAAGGGGGTGCGTGGAGTGAGGTAACTCAAGGACATTCTGCATGCTGCTGTGCTTTGCTGCTACAGAGCATGCTGCAGACTAGCAAGAGCTTTCCTTTTGGGCAGCATTATGTAAGATCTGTGTGACAGACAGACAAATATACATCGGATACTGAAACACACACACACACACACACGCACGCATGCGCGCACACACGCACACCAAAGCAATAAACATGTCCTACATAAGCAGGCACATACACTTTTAATCTTCAATTCAGAGCACATAATTTTAAATTCACACTGAGCTGTCCTTAAATTCTACTGCAGCAAGCCACCACTAACTAAAGCGCTTGTTCACCTCATTGGTGCAAAAACAGAGGAGGATACAAATTTTATGCGGCATGCTCAGTCCCAATAAGAGACTGATGAATGAAGATTTTAGATTTCCTTTACAATTATTAATATAACTGACTCTTCTAGAAACACATAATTAGACTTTGGAAGTTGGTTTGATAACCCAGTCCAACTGATAATTGGATATTTTACACAAATGTGCTTTACAACAAAATAGTCATGAAAGATTTCAAATTAAAAAAAATTAAAAACTGCAAAGTGAATGCCATTGAGGGTGTAAGTGAAAAGGGATCTGGATCTGTTTACATTTCTGAGTTTCTCAATGCCAAGGAACCTTGCATTGATGTTTTGGCCTTGCCCGGGTTGCCTTGCAGATACATCATCAGGAACTGCCAAGGTGTGTTCCAATGTTCATGTTCTACTGAAACGTGTGTTCTCCATTTGTTAGCCGTTTAGCTAGCTGAGCAAGGATACATGGGAGGTGTATTGTAGCCTAGCCCTGCTCAAAAATTTCCCAGAATACACTGTGGTATATCCAAAAGGATGGCAGATCAGAAGCCGGCAGCTACTTCTTTGGCTAATTTCAAGTTTAAATGTAAGTCAAATAATTTCAAAGTTATTTTTTTTTAGATCCAAATAAGTTATCTATGGTTGGTTAGATGCTTAGTTCTTGCAGCTTCGGTGGCCAGCAGGTAGTAACTCACTTACATTTTTAATGTAACCAATATATACACATTTTAAAAAGGAAAACCCTCGTTATATATTTAAATTTATACTTATAACAATATAATGTTATCTCCCATGTCACGTGATGTTACGTGACCAGTCACGGAAGCCACGTCTGTTCTATTTAACTGTTTTCTTTGACCAAGGAATGAGGAAAGCACAGTGATCTCATAAGCCTGCCTCGCAAGGCATCGCCTGCATCGTTGCAATGGAGCAACCAACAAATATCAAATTTATTGAGTCATCTACTGCCATCTACGTCAAATTGTCAAATTAGCTTAAATGCTACCTTGACCTACATTGAAATAATGTCAACCAAGCTAACTGTGGAAGAGTAGGGAGAAGAATAAAAATGGAATTTTCTTTTGTGTATTGGAGCTAAGTGATTAGCATAGCGTTCAACCTTATGCTGCAACCGGACTATTGTTTTAGCCTGTTGTAGCATTAGCAGGGGTGTGTTAGCATTGTGAGTGCCAGTTTCCTGTTGGTTTTAGACGTTTCCTTGCTTGATTACTGCAGATCTGATTATGAGTTGGCAAAAGCTGATGAAGGCTGAGTGGATAATTCAGCAGTTAGAATCAGGTGTGTATGAATAGGAACATATACAAAACATTACTTGTTTGTTAGCGCTACATGGCTGTATGTGTGCTCATGCGCATTGTGAGGCATGGCTTTCACCTCTTTCCTGCAGGGGGCTGGGGTGTGAGATGATGTTTTAAAGCTCCTCCTTCTTTCCTTGATAATGTCATGCTAATGGGCCCCCACTTAAAATGTGTTTATTTTGAGAAATGAAATAAAAAGAAAACCAAACACAGCCACATTTAGCATAAAATAAACCACTGTGTTGTAATTCATGATAATTCCATTAGAAATTGTATTAAATCTATGTAATGTTGACTTCCAAATAAAACTGTTTTTCAAGCAGTCACACATAATGCCAAAAATGCTATAAATGCTCAATTTGTTCATGTTCAAACACAAATAAAGGCAACAAGTTCTACAAACCATGTCCTAGCCGCTTTCTAGGACATCTACAAGCCTGGTTTGGTTTTAGCTGCCACAGTCTTTTTTTTTTCCCTCTACAATCATCTATCAAGAACATATGTGTTTAGAGGAGAGAAGAACAGACAACTCACCAAAGACAGTTCTGGCAGGGACGGACTCTCTGTTGAGCCAGAATGACACTTGGGAGAGAATGACGGTCATGATGCAGGGCAGATACGTCTGGATCACAAAGTAACCGATTTTCCTCTTCAGATGGAAGTGGGTTGTCATAACAACATATTCTCCTGTTTTCCAGAAAACAAAAGATAGAAAAATGTTACAACAAAAGTACAAGTGCCCTACGAAACCTCCACAAGATGAAAAACAAAAACTAAATTGGAAATAAAGTCTCAGATTTTTCCTATGCATAAGGCAATGCCTAATTGGAATGGAATGTTTATTATGTGAAGTGCCTTGAGATGACTCTTGTCGTGATTTGGCGCTATATAAATAAACTTGAATTGAATTGAATTAATAAACATTTACTGCTTTGTACTTTAATTACATTTTAGCAATACGCATTTCCCCTATGGTGTTTTGTAAAAGAAAAACACTTCAAAAAGACAGAGAAAAAGCTGAGAGATCGACATAAGCATATGACCAGGGTTTGAGTAACAGGGGAGCTAGGGGGAGCTGGGCTTCCCAAAGCCCTCAGCTGACACACCCATGGGGAGCCCAAAAAGTGATCCAGTCCTCTCCCCCACTGACCTGCTCTTGGTGATTGTATATAACAAGCTGTTATAAGAGGTTTCATTTACTGTATTTATTTTTGATAAGTTGAACAGTGACCCTAAATATGAAACCAAGGAAGCAAAGACAATTTTCCATTTGGGGAGGTAAAATGTAGGTGATGATGGCAACAACTGACATCAGATTTCAGTTTTATGAACACCATTATATGAATAATTAAATTAAAAGGGAAACACTAAACTAAAGGTAAAGCTACCTTACAGCAAATATGAGCTAAGATAAAAATAACGCTACCAGCAAACATGGAGAGGTTCGGTGCTTTTGGTTCACTAGCATTCAATTCTGGTTTCAAATGTTTCTCCTCTCCAACACATCTGTGAATGGGTGAATGATACGTCTTTGCAGGACGTTAGACATGATCAGTATGTCACTCATCTACTAAACAGAGTGTTTTGGAGTAGGAAACCATCTAAAGCCCAGACCACCCTGTGTGTTTTTCAGCTGTTGCGCAGGACTGCTCATGTCACACCGCGAGAACTCTACAAAGATGGCACACTATACAAAGCAAGATTTCAGTGAGTCAGACTGCAGAGAATCTTGATCTAGCTGGACGCGTTACATCACGAGCGCACCCCAAAAACGCATATGTCATTAATAGCGAACAGCTAACTAAAACAATAATCTTAAAAAACGAAAAAAGAGCCACTTCTTTTATTAGTTTCCGAACCCGACCTCCAAAAAGGAGCCATCTGCATGTTACTGCGTGTAGCTTCCACTGTTGGTGATGTTGCTAATTCTACTCTCGTGTTGCACTCTCATAACCAGCTGTTCGTGTGACTCCCTGGGTGGTTGCAGATGGAAGTTGTAGGTTTTGGTCATGAGGGTGCTCAGTAAGCTGTCGCAGAGCCAGTCACACTGGACAGCAGAAGCCTCGCAAATCACCCTCACATTCACCATTTTTTGTCACAATTCAGTTCACAACGAGAGATTTGTCTAGGCCGGACGAAACACGCAGCGTGGTCCCCGCTTTAATCATGCTGGACAGTGGCCACTAAGGATCAGGATTGAACACTGCGGGTTTAGACCATAGATGCAAACATTTACAGAAAGAGGATGTACGCTTAACAAGTTATAGTTTTATACTGATCTGAAACTGGACTTCATAGTTGAAACGGTCACTGATGTGAAGCCTACCAGTGCTGGACTGCACCACACCAGAATCCACACTCTGTCCCATCAAATCATACTGGTTTAACCTGGAGCCATCCTCTGCCACCACCACTGACTGAGCAGCCCCTCTGGTCCACACGTACACCACCTCAGCTCTGGTGTAGGCATCTGATAGAAAAAAAAAACAGTGGGAAACATTATTTTCTTGTGCTTCTGGGTGTTTTTGTCACAATGCCGTCTACAAAAATGAGACCTTTTTTTCTCAGATCTTTCATTTCTTGTCATTTCGTATTGGTGTCGCCTGTTTTCTTTCATTAGCTATTTAGGAATCATTTTTAAATTAGGCTTGAACCTCATTCTTTCTCCTATTTTTCTTCTTTCATGATCTAATCACATCTGTTCTCGCTTGTTTGGTTTTTGCCACATTGTGTCATTTCTCATCTTTAAAGAAAATAAGCAAGCAGGATCCCAACAGGACAACATGACCTTAAAGCAGCTAAGTCTGTTTTTTATCCCTCCTGGCAACCCAACCTGTCAAAGCTGCGTGTGGCTCGACCACTGCAGAGGAGAGCATGTCTTAGCTACAGACTGTGGCAGAGGGAAGAGAGCTCGTCACTAAAATATTTAGCGAGTGAGTTCAATTTAAAAAGTGTTTAAGGCTCAGTCCTCTCACTCACAATGTGCAGATGTCTGAGGAGTGACAGAGGAGCTGCTTGGTTTGAACTTTTATTGTCAGCTTAGTGTTTCTGTATTTTAGTCTCCTGCCTTGCCAAAGTCCTACAGCCATTTTCGACCCTGTTATTTTCTCACTTTTCCCAGTTTTTTTCCCTTATTGTCTATTCTTGTCTCCTACCTCCTTCATTCTATTTCTTGTTAAACCTTCTTAAGGACGATAGTTTGAGCTGTCAGCAGTGAAAAGCTAGCATGATTCCTTAGCAATTTAATGGAAAGTAGGTGAGCTGCATGTCTCTCAGGGTTTTGGAAGGCCTGTGAAGGTTGCATGCAGGCGGAGGGTCTCTGTCCTTTTATTTCTTGTTCAACAGGGCAGTGTGACAACACAAATGTGTGTGTGTGTGTGTGTGTGTGTGTGTGTGTGTGTGTGTGTGTGTGTGTGTGTCCATTAGCCTTCATCATTTTGTGTGAAAGTGTGGGGGACTTACAGCTGCCAAACTTCAGTGGACAAGCATGAGCATCCATAGGGAAGTCTTCTAGGTGCATGGGACATTCAGCCCTGACTGTAAGCCTAACAAAACATCAAATACACAGTTAGACAATAATATACCAAGAAGAGTAAGCAAAACAAAAACAAAATGTACTGTGGCAAAGTCCATCCATCCATCCATTTTCAGCCACTTATCCGGAGTCGGGTTGTGGGGGCAGCAACCTAAGCCGAGACGCCCAGACTTCCCCCTCCCAAGCTACTTGGGCCAGCTCTTCCAGAGGAATCCCAAGGCGTTCCCTGGCCAGCTGAGAGACAAAGACCCTCCAGCGTGACCCGGGTCTTCCCTTGGGTCTCCTCCCAGTTGGACGTGCCCAGATAACCTCACCAGGGAGGCGTCCAGGAGGCATCCTGACCAGATGCCCGAGCCACCTCAACTGGCATCAATCGATGTGGAGGAGCAGCAGGTCTACTCTGAGCCCCTCCCGGATGACCGAGCTTCTCACCCTATCTAGGGCCCAGCCACCTTGTGGAGAACACTCATTTTGGCCGCTTGTATCCGCAATCGTGTTCTTTCAGTCACTACCCAAAGCTTGTGACCATAGGTGAGGGTAAAAACGCAGATCGACTGGTAAATCAAGAGCTTTGCAGCGGCTAAGCTCTCTCTTCACCACAACAGATCAGTACAGCATCTGTATAACTGCAGATGCAGCACCAATCCGCCTATAAATTTCACACTCCATTTTTCCCTCACTCTTGAACAAGACCCCAAGATACTTAAACTCCTCCACTTGGGGCATATCGGCACACTCGTGAATCACTAGTCTCCCATCTAACCCTCATCTCACTCATCTGTGACACCAACATTGCCTCTTCCTCTTCCTCTCCCCTCCCCCCTCTTGTCTTATTTTAAAACAAATGTTTTAAGTCCTCTCCGTAGTTGTCAGTCTGCAGTGTGCGTGTCTATACTGTCAGGAAGGGTCTACATTCCTCCTCTTCTAAGGCTAAGACGAGTGACTCTGAACTCATCAGGTATTACAGCCCACCAACCTGCTCACAAATGTAAAGTATCATTTTGAAAGTGATGCATTATCAACAAGAACAATTTCAAACAAACAAAAAAACAACTTTTATGTGCAATGAATGCTTCGATAGGAACATGACAGTATGGGAGTGTATGTCTGTGTTCCATCTCTAGAGGATGTTTAATGAACTGTAGAAAAAAAAGAGTACGTTAAAACGTAGAGAATCGTTTTGCCCTTTTATCATATTGGTAGGAGAAATCTCAGCGTGCTCAAAGATCTACCTGATGCACACGTAGAATATCTTATTTGTTTTTATTTCATTATCATTTTGATTTAAACTCCAATGTCCAAATAAGAAAATATTGAAAGCATGGCTTGACTCGAATGAAGTCACGGCTCAAAATTTTACATACCAGAGTTTCATTCTTACATCAGTCTCGCATGATGTTGCTCAGTCTGATAGCATTTGGCGTATATGCTGTAAATGACTCTCGGCTATTATCATAAAACATTGGATTGAAGTGTTTTTTAAACTGACTGAGCTACAGCCATTTCAGTTTTCAAAAGTTTTTCAATTGTAGAAGTTAATTAAATGTTCAGTGTATTATTTAAAAAAAACTGTTAAGTGGTTCATGAAATATCTTACTAGCAAACATTCAGCACTGACTCCATCTGCTAATTGTAGTTAACACCACAGTTTAGGTAATATATCGGATGAAATGACTGGTTCCCAGATTATACAATGTGGATGACTTGCAGCTACACTTTGACATGAAATGTTGAATTAACTCAACCGAGTTATGTTAACTGGTTCCACTAGCTGCTTAAATGTAAAGAACAATATAATGTTAAACGTAAATGCATGTTACTATTTACATTTAACTAGGTTTAGTGCAGGGGTCGAATTACAGGGGAGCAAGGGGGAGCTGGGGGGAGCGGGGTTCCTTCGAAAGGGTGATGGCCACCCCCCAGAAACCCTCAACACATCCAGGGGCTGTCCGAAAAACGGTCCAGTTTCAACACACATTGTTTTACAATTAATATTCTCATGTTATGACACCTCTGTTTCAGTCCAGGTACCTCGGCCATCACGTGCCTACGTTCTATGATTGACATCAGTGTGTAAGCCGATGTCTAATGCTATTGGCTAATGCTGAGAGGCGCTTAATTAAAACTGCATAAAGCTCTACTGACTGAGGGTTGGCCTTAGCAAAAAATAAATAAATAAAATGTGTATTGCCTACACATGCAGGCAGGGTCAGCCTTTCACTTTTACAGATATTTAAAAAGTCATATATAATCTGTGAAAGGGATGATAACTCCAGATCGCTGCTTTAACAACTGCGTTACACGTGTTTCAGTTCAATTCAATTCAAATTCAATTCAAAAATACTTTATTAATACCAGAGGGAAATTGATTCACGGTTTATCAGTACTGTTCCAACAATCAGCACACTTTTATAAGATACAGTGGGCCTATTTTGTGGAAGACATTTTGACATGCATCTGTAGGGAAGGCACTGTTTTTACAAAACAATGCTGTCAATTTGCCGCAACGCTCTGGCGGCATCAGGGAGCCTTAGGTTATTTATACGTGGTCAGACTGTGGCGGTAATGTGGCGTAATTGTGTACTTCTTACAAAATATTAGGCGATGGCAGTATAAAGGGGGTATGAGGGTGGTCTCTGCACTGCCGCAGACTTCCGTTTATCTTGGACATAGCTCAGTTTTTATTGTGATTGAAGCCGTACTCATTATACTTTTTTGACAAGCCACTCCAAAAGGTGTCTGTCCTCCACAGCCCTGTGCAGTCTTCAGTGACCTGACCTCCAGCTCTAACGGAGATAAGCTCTTGGAGAGCTGCCTCGCTTCAGTTTGCCATCTCAGCTGCTTCTGTTTACAAAAGCAAAACTTTCAGCCCGTGTTTACTTTTATTCTCAATATATTTGCCAGCCGGAGCTCGGCAGTAACTCCTCATGTGTTCGTGACATCTCCCTCCGTTGCACTAAGGTATAATCTGCATTTATAAGACAGACAATTACTGCAACGAATGCCAGAAAATTTGTGCATCGCCATGCCAGCATGGCACCTTTGTATGACACACGGTTAAGGTAATATTACACTGAAGGCTGCATTCGGTTCCTGCTGCTGCAGAAGTTCTAACAAGTCAAAAACAGGACCCTTAACAGATATGGAGTCATCCTCAAAACACCTTCAGCAGTCCATGCACATGCTATTTTACTATTTTGTTTATAGTTTATTTTTCTTGTTCAGACTTGAAGACATATACACTTTACACGTGCAGTATCTGATGTGAGCCCACCTCATGGTATAAAGCAGCTTTCCTTCTTCAGTAATCCTCAGCAGCTTGTTCGGCATGGTCATGTTGTGAGCCACTGACTTCTTGCCATTGTGGAAAAAAGTATCAGGGGTCCAGATCTTGCTGGCCATCAGATTGTTGAGACGCAGAATGGACATTGGGCCTTTAAACTTTAATCTTTCATCCATCCAGCTCTGTCTGAAGAAGACATCAATAGTGTACTCCTGCAGGTTTGAAAGGCAGACAGAAATAATGTTAAACAAAAGGCTGGAGCTTGCTGGCCTGTTGCTTGTCCTTGTCCTGTCTACCTTTACCTTACTTTTACTGTGCATCCTGTTTCATTTTCTAGTTTAATTGTTTTTTTTTTCCATGTCACTTTGACTTCCTCATGGTAGCCTTAGCCCAGTTTCCCTGCTGGTACCTGTCTCTTCAACTTTAAGGTTTGGGCAGATGTGCCATCTAGCAAATGGAGCTGCATTGCTTATATGACTGGTGTCTTTTCTTAAAAAAATACCTCTGTGTTTGTTTTATCATTATATTATGCAAAAATATGTGTAGTCTTGTTTCTGGTATTTACATATTCGCAGTCTGGCTTATTGCAAAAATGCAAACAAAGGGCTATTCCCGTCCTTATTTGCTTTGTATTGTTAAGTAGAATTGCAAAAGAGTAAAAATAATTATTGGTTGCATTTATCTCGGGGAGAACTTTTTCCCAGAGTAATGAAAGTCACATTTGACACTAAAAAGGAATCAATGGGCACAGAATTGGGAGGACGTTTCATTTCCAAGCCGGCTAATGACTATAGCTGTGAGACGATTTTAATAGTTCCACATGACTGCCCACCAGAGTAAAGAGAGTCTGTAAAAATTACGACACAGCCCGTTTTTTTACTCATCCTCCCCCCCATCTTTTTCTTCGTTTGGCTCTCATGGATAATTAGTGGGAACTGAAACAGTGCTTCAAGGTAGCAGAGGAGGATATGGAAAGGCTGCAGATGGAGGGAATCTTCTTTAGGTCTTCCTTTTGGCCTAAAACAGTCCTGGTCTGCACGTCAGCTGGTGCAATTAACTCAAACAATGTCAAATATAGTAGACTTCATGTGCATATAAAGGGAGTGAGTCACTTGAATGGGATTAATTGGTCTCTGGTTCACAGGGCAAAGATCAGATACCCATGTTTGAACAGCATGCATTTTTTTTTCAACAAAGACTTTTGAAAAGTGCTGCAGAAATAATAACAGCAAGCTTTTGTATTTCAATGATTTGGCGGTTGAAAGTCAACCAATTTATGGAGAGGCAAAGCAGCGCTATTCAAGAAGCCCATTTTATACTCAGAGGCGGTTTAATGCGCTTGTCAAGTGCAAAAAAACAAGCCCAGTGAAACATAAAACAGTATATTTAAAGGGTCAGTAGAATTTTGTTTTTTTGCTATTGGAAACTGTTCTATGAGCAAAAAGAATGCAAGTCAATGGGGCTAAAAACGCTATTGTTTTATTTCCGCTTGTTTTGTGCCATGGATTTCACATATGATGTCTGTGAATTTTAAAGACACATTTTGATACCAAGAACGTGCTTATTTTCGAATAGGGGGAAACGCTATTTTAGCTTTTGTGTAAAAATAGGTCCAGGACTACAAATGCGCTTTACGAAAGTGACATCATCAAACCAGACACAGAGAAAACTGAGGGAAAAAGGCTGTAAGTTCAGCAAATTTCCCACAGGAGGAAAGAACCACCATAAATCTGGCCATTTGGTAAGTAGCAGCTACATTAGTGGACGTGCCGATTTCTGGTTCGTAGTCATGCTAATTACAAACTTTTACAAGCTGATAAATCTCAGAGTACGTGACTAGCATGGTCGAAACACCCATCCTTATTTTTTCATTGAAATTGCTGTACAACATATGTGTGATCCAGGGCGTAAGGCAAAGCAGATTAGAAAATGACAATTTTAGCCCCATTGACTTGCATTCATTTTTTCATCCTTCCAGGGACCCATGAGCTGACCGGAAAGGGAGAATTAGGCTCCCTATATTCAACAATGACAAGGGGTTAATGTTTCTGTTAATTCTACTGCCCTTTTAAAATCAACAAAACATAAAATAGTAGATTTAAAATCAAATAAGGTCCCATTTACTCATATTTTTAATACATTTTCAGTAGGAATGAATGCCTTGTAAGTCGTACTATGGGGAAAAAATTACACAGATGCACCAGTTTGAAGACAGAAAAGTCCGCTGGAGAAGAAAGTGGCAGAATGCGACAAGATATGGAGACCTATTTCCTAATATTTAGACATCTCACCTCTGATTGGATAACAACAATGTGACTCTACCACTGACTCTGTTTGCTCTGCAACGTGGGTATTTTATCTCCACAATTAACACAATTCTGGAAGAGTTCTGCCATGTGGTGGAGTTGCTAATGCTAAGAATAGCTTCTGCTAGCCAAAATGCTCTCTGCTGTTTCCTGGACGCTATACCAACAACAGCCTTTCCTGTTGTGAGTCAAAAAGGGTGAGTCCATGAACGTTAAGTGACAGCGTGACGCTGATCTGTCAGTCTTTTAAAATCTGATTTGCATGAGGTGTGTACCTGTTTTGTAAGTTTAAGGGTTTTTTGGAGATTTCTCTCCCTTTTTTTTTGTTTCAAAGCATTTGGATTTTCCATTTGTCTGTTTGTCTGGATTGTTTTTCATCCATTACTTTTATTTTCAATATCTAGAATTCTAACTAAAATGCTTCAACACATCCTTGAACACTGACTGAGATCGCTTTCTACTAAGTGGTAAAAGCAGATGTAGAGGTAATTTTACAATCTTGCAAAACAAACAGCCTTTGGCGTCAGAGTTCACAGTGCATTTAGATAAATCACCCACAGTCGTATTTACGAGCACGGCTGGAGTTAACAGAAAATAGTTCACAATAAATCCTTTTTTCGAGTGACAGTTTTATCAAAACATTAAGAGTTTATCTAATTATTTATCCCTTCAATAAATATTTTATAGCTTGTGGACAAATTTGTCTCAAGAGGTTAGAAGACCGACGTCAGAGTGAAGAGATGGAAGCACGAGGAACTGAGTGACATTTACAGAGGAGGAAAGAGCCTTACCATGTCATGGTCCGAAACTGGTCCAATACTAGTCACAAAAATGTCAGTCTTGACTTCGGTTACACGCTCTGTTGAAGCAGGAAATTGCCCGAGTTAGTGACTATCAGAGGCGTTCATTAGCCCTTAACTACTTGTTAATACAGCACAACCTGGACAAGACCTGGGATCTATTTAATGTAGTTTGCAATGCTTTTTGTACTGTACATAAATCATGCATAGAAGCACAGAAAGTGACCAGAAAAAGACACATTCTGGTCTCAGGATCAGCACTTTTACCACCATTAGCGCTGCCTGTCACTATAAAATGCTATCACTACAAACATGCCACTGATGGTCCAAGTAAAATAAATCAGCTCAAAATGACGAGACTGATTAGCAGAGCTTCATTTGGAGGAGGTGGAAAGGACTTAAGTGAATGTTGCATTGCGTGTGTGTGTGTGTGTGTGTGTGTGTGTGTGTGTGTGTGTGTGAGAGAGAGAGAATGTGACAGCACGATTTATGAATGATAGCCATCATAACCTATAATTTCTTTCCCCCGGCTGCTGAATTTCCAGCAGGCTTGGTCTTATTTTTTTTTTGTTTGATGCGTTCCACGAGATCCTCAATGTCCTTCAACTTTCACGCTGTCTCTCTTATTTTTTCTGTTCAAATTTCATAACTATTTTTCTTTTTTTTTTATTTTTATTTGTCTCCAAGCCTCATTTTATTTTGGTTTCCTTTCACATTCTTGATGCCTGCTCGGCTGCATCGTACCACAAGATCACGAGAGTCCTTCAGGTTTCATAAAATGTCTTTCTCTTTATTTTAAACTCTTTTTTTGGGCTTTGCCTGCCACATCTTCTCATTACATCATTGTTCTTCAATCTTCACTATTCACCTTTTTATATTTTTTTCTAGAGATGCTCGATTTAGACTTATTCACCGACATCTGACCTATATTGTATGAATCTTAATTTCCAATACCGGTACATGCTGTGTCCCCCTCTCACGAAAAAAGAAAAACTAAAACATTTTAGCTGACCAACATCCCATTTCTCTTATCAGACTTAAATTTTAAACATTTTCTGTGCAAAATGAAAACTACTTCAATTTAAGTTAGTAATAGGAAAGTTTCCTATGTAACAGCAGCTGAAACTCATTCTCCCTAAGCGTGACGCAAACATGTGTTTATTAGTTAGTAGTATATCATGTCTTATTCTGTATAATGCATCTATGGTGATCAAACATGTATAAAGATCTTCAGTTAAGAAAAGCAAGCCTTAGGTTTAACTAGTTGTTTTTTTTTTAGCTGTCTAGCTGATTATATTTTGACATTTTGAGAGCGAGAGGAGAAGTAGCTGAAGAGTTTGATGTATAACGTGTGTATGGTGTGTAAAGCTTGTGTCATTAAAAGACTGAAAACTGATACCGGTATTTCTCTGATATAAAATGTTAATGTTGATATAGATTGATATTAATGAAGACCGATAATATGGAATATCCCATTTTTTCTATTTTCCTTTGCATTTAACTTTATAGACTTGTGTCTCTTAGTCCTTTTGTGCTTAATTTTTTTGTTGACAACACGGGGAAATAACGCCTATTGGAATAGAACTGGCTTCATGTTAATTTCACCAATGCAGCAAGTAAATAATGAGTCAGCAGTTCTTTCTGCTTACTTACAGTCTCATGCTGACCAGACACAAAAATCTTTAAGTTTGTGAGAATTTTCTGTGTTTTTATGTAGATAGGAAACAATTTCTGGCACAGGATTTGGACATTTAAAAAAAAAGTACAAAATATAGTCAATGACTTCTACTACCGACCTCCTAGTCCTGGCCTGAGGCGATTGTCGTAGCCATCCAGGAGGCTGTCTAAGATCTTGGTGAACACTGTTGTGTTATCTGTCGGTTCGACTGTCATACCGTTCTGCCCAGAGCTGCCAAAGCAAAGAAGAAGATTTAAAGTCACGGCTCCAATCCAAATCCTCAGCCAAACACACACACACACACACACACACACACACACACACACACACACACACACACACACACACACACACACACACACACACACACACACACACACACACACACACACACACGCACGCACGCACGCACGCACGCACGCACGCACGCACGCACGCACGCGCGCGCGCAAACACACACACACACTAGAGCTAAGCAAACAAACGAACAACAACAAATAAGATCTCTGTATATGAATTATCTGGTTAGGAAAAAAATGTTTTGTTTCAGAATTCCAGTGGAACTCTGTTGAGTGGGGCATTGCACGATGCATCCTAAATGGGAAAGAGAACACAGATTCCACTTTCCTAATGTCGTGTTTTTGTGACTGTGTTGTTAAAATAAATAAGTAAAATAAAGAAAAAACTAAAATGTTCAATTTTCATTGGTGAAAGTGTCTGAAATAGCAGTTAAAAAACTGTATTTAACTGTCTAAAACGCACATGTGTGCACGAGCCTGCATGCTGGCACAACAAAATAATAAACGGAGAGGAGAGGGAGACAGAGAGTGGAAACAGAGATATCAAAATCCATTATTTATACCTTAATATGGTCTTTCCAACAACAAAGGCCTTGCTGAATGTGCTCTTTGAACAACATGAAACAAAATGCTTAGAGCAACGCCGAAAACACTCACAATTCGTAATTGTGAGTGCAGGGCATGCATCTCCATGCATTAATATTTTAACTCCCTCCTAATCAAGAAAACAACCTCTAACGACATAAAAAGCTGGATAAATGAGAAAGTATATGCATGTATCTTTGAATACTCAAATCCATGTATGTCTGCAGCTTCTGTCTGTTGACGTTCAAACTGATAATACTCTCTAAACATGCTTTTTATGACCCTATCTACATCTGCATTGTTCCAAATTAGTAGCATTTGCTTGGATTTGTAGTAAAATGAACAGCAAGTGTCTGAAAAACAGCTTTTCTAGCTAAATGGCTCCAAGGAGAGGGAAAGGTCATCTAGATTAGTTAGCAGAAACCTGCAACAGAAGGGGATGAATAGAAGAAGGAGAGAAGGGACAACATCTGGTTAAAGCATTATAATTAAAGCTTTAAACAAAGTTTGCATCAAAGCTGCGTGACGGAATAAGATCCTTATGTTCCGGACACCAGCCTTCAAGAATAAAGATGGAGCAGCGACATCACACATGCAATTTTTGTAGGGAGGGATTGTTCATATGTCTTTCCCTGCCCCCAATTATTCCCTTTCTTACTAAAAATGATAATGATTAAAAACACATCAAGCAATTGAACAACTAAAACTGTGATGAGTATTTTAGCTCGGCTGCAGGCCTGGACAAAACCGCGTTGAAACACTTGAATGTAAAACAATAATTAATCTGCTTTGTTTGGACCTGGAGAGCCAATCACTCATAAAAGCAGAAATTATAAAAACAACAGGTGAGGCTAAAATAACCTCTCATTCAAATCCAGCGTTGGGCAAGTTACTTCAAAACTGTAATGCATTATTTATTACTTGTTACCCACATTTTAAAGTAATTCATTACATTACAATATTACTGATTTTAAAATGTAAGGCATTACACTACTTTTGCACTACTTTAAGTTGCTTTCACCAAAAACAACTTCAATATGAATCTGGTAATGTGACGCTCAGTGAGCTCATGACATATATGTGGAAAGTGATGCGGTACCTGAGCTAGGATTGCTGTTAAAACAGTCAGATATAATAACAGTGCTTTAAAATGATTGTTTATTAGATAAAAGCAACAAAAATCTGTACTCTCAGTGCGCTGCCATCTTATAGGGCCATCTGAGCAGGGAGTGAGGTGGTGGGGGCTCCAAGCCTATATTTGCCTTGGTCCCCACATGCCTTGATACGGCCCTGGATGTGGGACTGACTTCTGGGGTGATCTGATTCTATCACATGTATAAATATTAAATTCCTATATATTATTGCTTTTCATTGGCAAAAATGTATATTGGGGATAAATCTACCTACTTTTTTTTTTCTTTTCAAGCACTTTGTTTTGTTTTCTTGATTTTATTTGAATAATTTCTGCTCTTTCTCTCTCTAACCTTCCTGCATGCTGCATGTTCTCTCCGTCTTCCAGAAAAGCTTTCCTAGATTTCCTACTTTCTAACTAATCAGCCAAAGGGATCTACTGAACGCAAAAAAATAAAAAATAAATAAAAAAAAGCTTAATATGTGCTGCGCTCCAGCAGTAATGAGTTGAAATCACCGGGGCACAGATTATGAACTCAGCTGAAAAGTACATGAAGTATCAAAGAATATGGGCGGATATAAACGATCGCAAATGAATTACTTTGTTTTGGTGGAGTGATTTTGTGAATATAACAGCAGCCGCGTGCAGGATGCAGCTGGAGTATTTGAGCCGTTACCGCTGTGTCCTCTCTGCTCATAGAATGCCCGCAAAGCTGAGTCCATAAATGACGTGATATATGTAGATACTGGATCTTTTTCAGGCTTCCCGCAATTTGAATTTTTAGGAAACCCACATCTTGACTCTGGGTTTAAAACTGCATTGTAATTACTGCATTACTGACAATTGTACCAAGTAAATATTACCATTTCTTTCCCTGTAATGCCTTACATTACCACATTACAGAAAAAAGCAATGCATTACAGTAATTAATTACTTTTGTACTGCGTTACTCCCAACACTGTTCAAATCTGACTAAATAAGCTAAGACCTAAAATAGGATTGGTGAGTGGATTTGGTCATCATGTGTTTTAGCAATATAAGCAAAATTTGAATATTTATGGAAATAGATGCTTTAGGGTGAATAAAACAATGAAAATATACACATGATGTATTGGTAACACTTTAAAATAAAGGCACCTTTATTAATGTTACTTTTTATATTAATAAGCATTAATAAACAAAGGATACCTTTATTACTGTTCTCAATATTAACTATTAAGTGTTCTTAAGGTTAGGACAAAGTGTGTGTGTGTGTGTGGGGGGGGGGTAGAAATGCATTACCTATTATTAACATTAATATCAAGCAATTGTTAATACTTTTATAGGTTTTCTAATTCTTAATAATGCACTAGTAGCGTTAATAAAGGGACCCTATTGTAAAGTCTCACCTAGGTATTTCCAAAAAGACGTGCCACCATATTTTAGCTTGAAGTAATGAACTTACACATTAAATCAGAAATATTTTTGCTCTACATCTTCCAAAACACCGTATGGCAGAGTGTTTTCTGCTGACGTGTAACATCAGGTGTGCATTCTCATGTAGAATACACGGATCAATTCAGATTATGGATGAACGTTCAGGATAAGAGAGAAAAATGGAAAGAAAACAAAGTGTTATGAAAGACACGTTTATCAACTAGGGACTGTCTAACCACTGTACACCATCCCCATCTACAGGTCATCTGAACAGCAACAGCGCCACACACACACACACGCACGCACGCATGCACGCACGCACACACACACATACACACACACACACACAGTCTACTTTACTGTAAATCTCGCTTTTTTGCTGTTTCTCTCTCTCTCCTGTCGAATATCTAATTATAAGGCAATTCCTTCCGTGGCTACATTCTGTAGCCAAGCGCTTGGTCCGCTTGATTATCATGTCTAGCTGAAAATCCCCAAAGGTGTGTGTCCGTGAGTGAGTGTGTGTGTGATTCTGACTTCAAAAGGGGACACTAGATTATACAGTAAATCTTTTGGTGATAATTGCTTTCGCAGCTCGCCATGACAGTCCCTCAGTACTGTCTCTGCAGCACTTCAGTGCTTTGACATTTCCCCTAATGTACAGCTCTTCAAATGCAGTAAGCAGGCCCCTTCGTTTGCAGCTGGAAGATTTCAAAACAGAGCAACAGATGGGATTAATGAGTTTGATCCAATCAATGTGCAGCAATGGCATGCTGCAGTGTATTTCAAACAGGACACGTGTCACAACCACGTAGTCGAGGAATTTTGGCTGACTAAATAAGCCAAGATATACAGAGTTACCACTTTTACTAGTGATAATTCTAGATGTGACAATGTGAGTCAACTTCCTGTGGCAGTCCAGCGGAATTATTCAGCTCCAATCCTGTCTTTCATTTGGAACATCTTCACTTTCACAGTTGCTTTTGTAAAAGTTGAAGCAGTTAGCATGGCACTAAAACATGCAGAAAGAACACTGGTTTGGTATTTGAATCGTGTGGGAGTTAATGCAGCTGCAGTCACGTCGGAGTATCACATGGCTGTCACCTCTAATCCAATCCTCATCTTTTTCTGCTTCTTTGTGTATTTAGGTAGCTGACAGCTGACCGCTCAGTGGTGACACTAAAACAAAGTGTCTGTACATGGACTCTGCCATCCCCGCAGCTGCTGTCAAAACAAATGCGCAGCATTTTATGGCAAATATCCCAGTGCAGCAAAGAGCATATACCCTATGTAGCCCAGGACTGCAAACTGACAGAGTGGATGTTACATGGTGAACCAAAAACAAACGAACAAAAAAAGTTGAAGGAAAATAAACCATTTCTACTCATCATCTCTTCTCCCTGTGCTATACTTTCAAAAACTCCTATAATTATGAGCATGCAGGTGCTCTGTGAGTTTGCCCCAGATGCAGGTAGAGTGTATATCATCTGTAAGCTCAGCCCCCACCCTGCTAAAGAAAAGAAAAGCATCTGGAGGAAAGATGGAGCATCAAACCAGCATTCTTGGCTAGCTCAGATATCCGGACATATTTACGAGGGAAATTTGGCAAACAGTACGCCCTGCATTAAGAGGTAACTGTCCTGTTTCATGGAAATATTTGTCAGACACACTCTAGTTCCCCTGTCACTACTAAACACAGCACAATTAGGGTTACCCAGAAAGAGCCTAATCATCCAGGCGGAGTTTGGATCCAGGATTATGATTCCCAAGGCATTTGTCCCAGACTCTGTTTCAGGTTTCACCATCATCTGTTTCAACATCAGGACACATGACCAGCATGCGTATGGAATCTCTCGGGGTGTTTGGACCTTACCTTTTCCCACCCATTACGCCGCTGGTGACGAGCAAGCAAGCCCACAGACGCAGAGAGGCCGCCCTGCTCTGTCCACACATCGTTGGTAATATGAGGACCTTTCACTGCTGCGGGTTAAAAGACACAGAAAACCTCTATCATCTTCATGTCATAGGAGCCTTTACGTCATCATACCCAACATTCAGCCGTGTAAACGTGTCAATAGATGAGATCTGTTGGAAGAAAAGAGCTAGTTGGTGACCTCATAACTCTTTTGCCCGCCCCACATACCACCAATCAGCCATTCAGCATCATTCCCTTTAATTAGATTCATTGACAGAGGAATAATCCTCATAACTGGGGGGGGGGGGGGGGGGGGGGGGCACTTAACTGTGATGCAAATGCACTTCCACAACAGACGTTCGCAGCATACGATGTGACTGCATCTGTAGCGCATAATGATTAAGAAGAAATAACAAGGAGGCATGCACCATTGAGCACAGAGCTTGTAGCACCTGTGAGCAGCCTTCCCTTCCGAACACTCTGCAACGGGAAGCATCGGCACTGCAGAGCCAGGAGCCAATCCCAATCTGAACATGTTCATCCTCCTGGAACATTTGATGTGCACGTAAAGGCGTAGCTCCTATGTTTACTTATTTATTTATATGTTTTAGTTTCATTATTAATTCCATTTTGAAAGCACAAGAGATATGTCCACTAGAGGGCCGGTGGTAAAATTATAAAACAGGCGCTTAAAATTCACAAACCCCACCAGATTTATTTATTTATTTATTTATTTTTGCCACTAATACAGCATAGTGGACTCCCGTAAAATGCTCTGGTGAAATGGAAAACATTTAAATAAATAATAATACATCTCCTGGTTGACAAGGGTTTAATAACGCGAGGATGATGAAGATTAACGAACTGGAGAGGAAAATCCCGCAAAAGCACACTTTCTAAGTTATTCTGGGCATAGAGGAGGAAGGGGGGTGTCAGCCTCGTGCCCCCTATGACATCTGAATAGATTCTACCGGTAACTGCATTTTTTGCATGCAACTGGCGTCCCTACAAGGCTGGTCTAAATACAAGCATGACAATCCGTGCGTTGTGGAGCAATTAAGCAAATGTGCGTTGATGCCGGTTTATTTGGGCGCTATCCGCGGTGCTGAAACCAGGCATCAATCGGCTCTTGCCTATAAAACACCTTCCCACTTAAACACGCTGATACCGGCAGCAAAGTCGTCCTTCCTCTCAGTAAACCCCGCTTCTGTCGGTGTCCAGCCACCAGAAACACCCCTACAAGTGCGATTGTTACTCATCTTTCTCCTTTAGTCTAAAAAAACACAAACGTTTGCATTTGACTTACAGCACAAGAGTATATCAGGTGTCCGCAGAGTATATCCTCAAACTTTAGGATTTTTTTTCTGGATGGATTGAATGAGGGGGAAAAATCCTCTGTGATCTCAGATCTGACGAATTTCAGCTTGAGGCTGGAGAAGCGGCTGCTGACGATATGCGCAGGTCTCTCTCCCTGTTCATTGGTGGTTATGGAGTGAGTTCAACTCTCAGTCTGTCAGCAACAGAAATGTTCCCTAAACTAACACATCTACCTTCGATCGCACCTCGGATTAAAACGCGAGGCAAACGGACACAACCAAACGTCTAAAGGCGCAGATTATTTTCTTTTAGAATAGGCTGTGGCAACGTAATATTATGACAAGCCCGCCCATTTTATATGCAGCACAATTTAACTTCCACTGATGTCCTCCTAATCTCCTTCCAGTGGATGTTTGAAAAAAATCCTCTTACATTTCCTGCTCCTTATGTGTTTATTTTTATTCCCAAATCGCACTTTATCCGTCAGTCCCCCCCACCCCCCACCCCCCCCCCACCCCCCGGCCAAAAATAAAAAATGAAAACATAAAACCCCATCATTCCATTCAGCAAACCGATTCTCCCAACAGAAATAAATGATTTAGAGAGAATAAAAGATTAGCAGTCATAAAACAGGACAGCAAGTACTTACGATGGAAAGATTTGAACGCAGATGGATTACAGCTCGCATCCGCGCGCATAAACGCTGGATAGAAAACGCCTCTATTTTCTGTTTTAGATAATGACATCCACTCACCAGCTTCCACTGATGAGCCGAACCTTAGTCTGCTCTAGAATTCTCTTCGAGTCACTCACCGTCTCCTAAAAGCCCAAGTTTCGCATGGAGACAGCAGCGCTGTGTCTCTACAGCCAAATATTCTGCTGCCACAGCCGCGCCGCTTCAGACTGAACGGCGAGAAGCGCTGAGCTGCGTGTATCTGCAAAGGAAACACACACACACACACACACACACACACACACACACACACACACACACACACACACACACACACACACACACACAGCTCATCATGCACGGCGTATATTTCTGTGGTCATCTGCGTAAGTTATAAAATCAGAGGTAAACGTTCGAGATTGGAACTAACGTGGAGAGAAAAGGACACTCTTATTGGCGTTTGGTGTTTATGTGTCTCTTTTGACCGCTAAATCCGTTTTATTCGTTCAGACTGTTGATATTAGGCAACTGAATGTGATTTTTTACCCTCGGATTTGAATTAAGGTTTATTTTCATCTGAGCAGGCAAGAGTGAGCTGGCAGTGGAGTCACGTCAGTCTGGTCTGCAGTGCAACGTTTCGTCTGAGTGTGAGCGTTGCCTCCTTACGCGTGGCTAAAGTAATGCATGTGCGTGATTAGTTATGAGGGACGTCACCGCCTATTCTATCATTCATCTATCTGTCTATCTATCTATCTATCTAATCTATCTATCTATCTATCTATCTATCTATCTATCTATCTATCTATCTATCTATCTATCTATCTATCTATCTATCTATCTATCATGCACGCTCTTTTCCGTTTCCTTTTCTTGCGCTTCTTTGCTCAAACACCCACTCCTGACCTGATGCTGCAGGTGGGTGCTCACATTGTTTATTTATTTATTTGTTTATTTATTTATTCATTTACGCATCTTAATGAAAGATCCCTCCACCACCCCACCCAGCTGTCGTAAGTGGAGCATCGTTTCAAGCTGCCCCCTTTCTCATATAGCCAGTCTCTCCACAGCTGCATGTGACTCGGCTTGCCCGTGCGTGCACGTGCACGTGCGGGCGTGCATATCTAACACGTGCCAGTCGGTATTTTTTTATTTTTATTTGTTTGCGTGCACGCCTGCAACTGGGAGTCTGTATCTTTATTTGTTTTACTTCGCTTAAGGAAAAATAGATTTAGCAAAGATTGTCATTCAAAACATGAAATAGTGCAAGTGATTTTTTTCATGCCTTCCTCTCACAGCTCCATCTCTGAGCAGTTGATGGGAGAGGTATAGTGTTGGGAAGTGCGCGCGTGTGTGTGTGCGTGTGCACGGGGCTAAACGGAGGGAGATGGATGGTGGTAATTTAGGTGAGAGATGTGCAGGTTATGGTGGAATAATCGTTCGCTGTGAACATTGCCTTTGAATTTTGAAGGGAAGGGTATTGACTAACAATGCCCACCCTCCCTTCTGTTTGTGCATCTTTTGTGATGCTGTTTATAGATAAATTTATTTTGTCTTCACACAAATTAAATGGCCAACTGTTGTGACCAGGCTTTCACACTTTTAATAAATGCAGCAATAACAGAAGTTTCCCAAACTACTGCCAGATTTGTGTAATTTTTCATATTTCATGTAAAACCATTTGTGCTTTTCAAATGTGCAAACCAAAACGTGTTGGCCCAGTGCCCTTTGAAGTGCATCTGTAAATCCACACCACTTGTTTTTAAAAAAAATGTCTTGTGGAGATTTGTCAAACACGTAGCATCATGACAGTCAGGTCTGAGAGGCAACAGGCTCCTTTAACACCCATCACCCATGGAAGGTCTCCCTGGACTGTTCATTTTATTTTTAGTTTAGTTTAATGGACACCTGACATCTGACAGGGACAAAATCTTGACATATCCATTTAATGTATTTTTGCCTCATGCTCTAAACCATGGTTTCTCAACCTTTTTCAGCTAAACGCCCCCCTAAGTCATGCTGAAATCCCTTACTGCGCACCAATGTCCCATGCAGAGAAATGGAAAGTTTTTTTAGATAAAAATCATAATAAAAAATAAATAAATAAACAATTCAGCCTTGAGTTTGAAACTGTTTCATACAAATATGTCATAAAAAAGTATCATAAAAAGTGTTTTTAGCGATTAGCAACAAGATATTGTAGGAAGCTAATAATCCTTGGTCCAGTAAATTTGAGCTTCGAGCAAACATACTGCTAATGCTACCTCTTTTAGAGTGTCTCTCTTTAATTACCTGAAAATAGTTCAGTTCCTTTAAAGCTTTGTCTGGATGCATTTTGGACTCCTTAAGCCGGGAGGATTTCATCGTTTCGTTTCAAAAAACTTTTCACAAAGCAGGCACATGGGGAGTTGTGGATTCGTGGGTGAAGGAATACGTCCATACCGAAGGTAGTGCACATTGTACTGTCGACACTTCTTTTTATTCTGAGCCATTGTCTGTTATGAATGTTCTGTACTGCTAGCGCCCACCATTAGCATCTCAGCGCCCCCTTCAGTGGCAAAAAACTTTCACCGCCCCCTTATGTAGTCTGAACGCCCACTAGGGGGCGCTACAGCCCCCGTTGAGAAACCCTGCTCTAAACAATGCATTGCCTTTCTTACTAACAACAGTAAATAACATAATAAAAATCATTTTAGAAGACCAAACCAACATGGAGGAGACACCCATTGTGTGCATTTCACATGACATGTATATCAATCTTTGCTCAATGATTGCTGTGAGCCTCAGGCTGTCACCCCATCAGGTCTATGCAGAACCTTTTTTGTCCAGTGGGCAACTGGCGCTTCCCAACTGCGACTCCAGCCGGGCGTACAGAGAGAGGAAGAGAAGGTACTCCAGTTCAATTACTGCAGTAAAGCTTTATTTGAACTTGCTTTTCATACCTCTTTGACTCTTGAATTTCACAGCCACTGACTTGAATCTCAGCTGTTGCTCTTGCACTTGAATCTCATTGAAGTATCTCATTTTCATTATAACTTTTTATCTGATTTCAACACAGCAAATCAAGTGTCACTGCTCACAGGCTCTTAAAGCAACACTAAAGGGGGTTTAACACATTAAGCTATGTTTTCAAACTGGTTTCAGTGATTCTTGAGGCATAAACGTGAGTAGCTTCACAATGGACAGTACTCTGCTCCTCTACTGACCAGAAACTGCACTGAACAGTTTAGTGGTTGTGGCCAGTAGCTCATATAAAGGCTAACAGTTAGCTTCTCCAGTTTACCAACAGTCAATGAAAAGTGCAAAAAATAAAAAAAGAAAAAGCTGGACGGAAAAGTAAGTCAATGTTTTTGGAAGTGAAGCAAAGAGCAAAACCAGAGTGAACATTAGCAAAGCCTATTGAATGAGGGAGCTGAGGGAAACTACAGAATGATGGAGTGATGGTGGCTTTGCTTTGTTGCTACTGGACGTGTAAGTACAAATATTTTGTTTGCCCAAAGGTGTGGATCTTTTTAGTTTGTGGCTTATTTAGAACCTGTTGGCTCATATTAGCTCATTGTTACTGCTAGCTACTGCAGGCTGCTGCAAGATTGTTTTCGCTGTTTGTAATTCCACTTTCAACCAGTGGGGTGGGGGGGCAACTTGCTAAGAGTTACTTTAATGAAATTGAAAGGTTAATGCACCAGGGTAGAAAAGATTGCACAAGTTGAGGTGTTAATAGTGTCCTATAGCCAAGCATCTCTCACTTTATGGTTTTAACATTGTGGACACAAAGTCGCTGCAGGGGCAGGCTGTATGTTGCATTCTGTGGAACTTCAGAAGCGACTCACCTCAAGCAGTTGTCCTGGGGGGGGGGGGGGGGGGGGGGGGGGGGGAATCAGGCTGCTGCAGCAGTCAAACACAGGCTCCCCCTCAGTGATATGCTCTCTGCAATCAGAAGAAGTTGGCATCTGTCTCTGACTCACTGTTTGAGGTCAAGTCCAGTGTGATGTATGCAGAGATGCATCGTCCAGTATAGACCATGAGAACACTACATGCATACCTTTATGTATTTATTACTTTAGAAACATTTATTTAGGCATCAACTACTTTGACCATTCTAATTGAATGCTGTCAGCACTTGAGAGGCTTTCTTTGATGGATTGTCCAGCGTTGTTAAGCCTTTAATTGTTTTTTTACTGACATAATTTTTTATATGTTCAATAATTTTAATGGGGCTGAAATGTAACAGTTTTATTACACAATATTTCCTCAGCGTGAACTTAGTAAGACCTCCACTTAACCGTCTCAAATGTTTTCCACTTGTAAGAAATCATTTGAACTGTGTAATTATAGACTCCAAGTTCTTTCTAAATGTCATCATAGCCAGCGCCAAATTGATATGTGGCAACATTTATTCAGTGAAATTATGCTTAGACACACCTGTATAATTGAGAACACCAAACAGTTTAAACCTTTATTTTTGGAGCCACATTTATGGATCAATCAAGTAATCAAATGCATGTTATTAGAAACACTTAGAGCAGAGGCGCCCAGTCATGGTCCTGGAGGGCCGGTTCCCAGCACATTTTAGTTTCAACACACCTGGTTTCTGTCAGCAGTTGATTAACAGGCATCTGCAGAGCCTGATGAGCTGCTGCACAGCTGATTGAACCACCGAATCAAGAGTGTTGCGCTGGATACCGGCCCTCCAGGACCAGGATTGGGCACCCCTGACTTAGAGAATATGTGCCCATTCTGAGAC